ATGTGTGTGTGAGTTGCGTGTTTGACACGTTACGTGTCTTTGTTACTGAATTTTATTTCTTTCTGTAATTGTTTTGGACTTTTGGTCCACGCTGTGTTCTTGCATTTTCTGTGTTGAATCCAACCGTATAAAGAACGTGAAATTTGGATAAACGGTTGGAAAGTTATAGGCAAAACACTGGACAGAGGTCGAAACTGGAAAAACAGAGAAACGAATCTGCCCAAAAACGACCGGTCGTTACTGTTCAGGCGACCGGTCGCACATGAATCTGTCCCAAAACGACCGGTCATCACTGTTCATTTTCACTGTTCATGGCACTGTTCATAGGTGATAAAAGGGTGATAGAAAGTGCTGTTTCTGTTTTTCTTTGGTTTCTTGTGTTGTTTCATTTCTTTTACATTTCTTTACTATTTTTTAGTTTCCAATTTGCATTTGTGGATTTGTGGTGTGTTAAATAAGTGTTCTTTACGTACTCAAACTAGAACTTATAGGAAGCCGACAAGTTCTTCGTGGGATCGACCCCGTACTTACATAATCTATACTTCATTAGATTCGTGCACTTGCGGGTATTTTTAATTGGTTGTTTGCACATTAATTTGTGTCCTTTTAGGAATGCAACAGACCCCAAGACCAATATAGCCTAAATTAAAAATCAAGAAATAAGCTTTAAATTACAGCTTTCACACATCAAGTTATAGTTGTTGTATATATAAAACCCTTGTATCCTCTTTCAATATTCAATTCAATTCATACACACAGCAATAAATTATTTACACACAAAGAAAGAAGGAAAAGAAGAGTGAAATGGCTTGGATGAGAGAGAAAGAGTTGAGTAGGGGCATGGGAGCACTTTAGTCCTTACGTGGCTCTGCTACTGGCCATAGCAACCCAAGGGCAACCATTATTCACATGAGATATGAGGAGAAGAATTTGCATGAATTTTGGTGTGGGAAGTGAAGAACATGGCTAGGTATTTATAGAAAAAAAATTCTAAATTTTTTGGTATTTTTCCCCCTTTTTTTCAATTTTTTTGGTCGCTGATGTAAACTTTTCTTCATAATAAAAAATTGGTCGATGACGTCAACTTGCCCAAGCAAATCTTGCTTTTGGGCTTGCCCATTTTCATGGACTCACTTCTTGCCATGGCAATTTTTCCTTTGTGGAGATTGTTTTTGGAGTCTATAGACCCCTTTTTGCCATGACAAAGGCAAAATGAAATGGGTGGATGGAAGTGCTGCAAGCCCCCACGGGCCAATAAGGGGAATGGGCCTTTTAAGAAAGGAAGAAGGCCATAACCATGGGTGAAAATTTCCAGGTCCAAACAGGTATATATACTATCATCATTAAGAGCACCTCCAACCTTTACCCAAGATTGGGCAAAAGGGCCCCCAAGGCAGCCCAAGACAGCTCCAGCGGAAGAAAAATGGCCCGGGCAAATGGTGGGTCCCATCGAACTGGGCAAGCCCACAGGCAGATCTTGCCTGGGCTGCAGCCCGAAGGCACTGACGTCAGCGCTGATGTTATGCTGACGTCAGTGAGTAAAAAAAATTCAAAAAAAATTCAATTTTTTTTTTAAAATACCAAAAAATTATAGATATTTTCCCTATAAATACATAACAATTTTATTCACTTTCTAAATTGTTTATATTTTATTGCATAATCTTTTTTTTTTCTTGCCCTTGCCCTAGCCTTCCAAGGGTGGAACCAACTAAGGCAAGGCTGGCACTATTCATGTGAATAGTGTCAGTAAGAGCAACTCCACCCATTTGCCCCTTGCCATGGCAAGGGGGGGGGGGCTAGGGCAGCCACTATTCACGTGAATAGTGGTTGCCCTTGCAAATAGTAAATTTTGTGTTTCCACCCATTGCCATGGCTAAGGGCAATTACTATTCATTTTTTTGTTTTTTTCACAAATTTTTTTACCTCAATAATTAATTTGGATAATATTTTCGGATAAGATTTCCGGGTTCCTACGTGTCATGACTATTCATAATTGGATAAAATTTCGGGATAAGATTTTTGGGTTCAATTTTCGGATGAATTTCAAAATTCAAAATTCAGATAAAAATTTGGGTTCAAATTTCGGATGAATTTCAAATTTCAGATAAGATTTTCATCCAATCAAATCAAGCCACGTGGCATCTCTATCTTGCCAAAATATTCTATAAAACCAGAGGCTCAGCTACCTCTCACACCACATCTTTCTATATTTTCATTTCTCAGAGTTTAGAATTCATACTCAATTCATTCTCAATGGAAGATTTTATGAGAAGCTTGGAGAGGCAAGAGCGAGAAAGAAATGAGAGAAACTGTAGAGCAGATGAAATCAATGAGTTGCAGAGACAAGTTGATGAACAAGTTGTCATAGCAGTGGCTTTGCAAGATGAAGAGAACCAAGGTCGCCGCCATGGTTCACGAGTCGGCCGCCGAAAGAATGTGGACAGACATAGGCATTCTCGGGGTAAGAATCTTTTGGAAGATTATTTTATCCCAACTTCTTTGTACTCTAATGTTGATTTTCGAAGGCGATTTAGAGTGGCACCCCATGTGTTCAATAAAATCATGCATGATATTTGCAATCATGATGCATACTTTGTTCAAAAGTGTGATGCTACTGGTACTTTGGGACTTCTTCCGGAGCAAAAGCTTACTGCTGTTATACGAATGTTGGCGTATGGAGCATCTGCTGATCAGGTGGATGAGGTTGCCCGGATGGGGAAGTCAACTACGTTGGAGGCTTTGGTAAGATTTTGTGATGCGGTTGAAACTCTGTACACTAGAGACTACCTACGTAGACCTACGCCCAGGGACTATATTTGCAATCATGATGCATACTTTGTTCAAAAGTGTGATGCTACTGGGGTTTTGGGACTTCTTCCGGAGCAAAAGCTTACTGCTGTTATAAGAAATGTTGGCGTATGGAGCATCTGCTGATCAGGTGGATGAGGTTGCCCGGATGGGGAAGTCAACTACGTTGGAGGCTTTGGTACGATTTTGTGATGCGGTTGAAACTCTGTACACTAGAGACTACCTACGTAGACCTACGCCCAGGGACCTCCAACGGCTTCTACAAAAAGCCGAAGCTCGAGGATTTCCAGGAATGGTTGGCAGCATCGACTGCATGCACTGGCAATGGAAGAATTGCCCAACTGCCTGGCAAGGTGATTACGGAAATAGAAAAGGCCAAAAAAGTATCATCCTTGAAGCCGTTGCTGGCTTCGACACATGGGTTTGGCATGCCTTCTTTGGAGTTCCTGGATCCCAAAATGACCTCAACGTGCTGGGTCAATCCCCGGTCTTCAACGATGTTTTGAGAGGCCAAGGCCCCAATATCACCTATGAAGTCAACAATACAGTCTACCAGACGGGATATTATCTAGCTAGAAGCATTATGATGACTTGCATCATCCTCCATAATATGATTGTGGAGGATGAGTATGATTATGAAGTTGAAGAGGTCTACGAATCGGATCCCATGAACACGGCTTTGACACGAATTTATGAAAGGCCCATGGGGCCAAGTGGAGAACCGTTTGAACCGGAGCCGTTGGTTAGAGATGGTCGTTTCATGACCCGTATGATAGATCGATATCAAGAGATGCAATCTTCGTATGTTCATGAAAGGCGTCAACGTGACTTGATGGCGCATCTATGGGCGGTGATAGGCAATCAAGATGAATGATGGAGCATAGATGCTTTGGTTATGTTTTATTTATTATGGTTTGGTTGTGGTTTTTAGTTTTTTTTATTTTAATTATGTTTTGTTTGATGTATGGAATATGTTGAATAAAAATGATTGTGGAGGATGAGTATGATTATGAAGCTGAAGAGGTCTACGAATCGGATCCCATGAACACGGCTTTGACACGAATTTATGAAAGGCCCATGGGGCCAAGTGGAGAACCGTTTGAACCGGAGCCGTTGGTTAGAGATGGTCGTTTCATGACCCGTATGATAGATCCATATCAAGAGATGCAATCTTCGTATGTTCATGAAAGGCGTCAACGTGACTTGATGGCGCATCTATGGGCGGTGATAGGCAATCAAGATGAATGATGGAGCATAGATGCTTTGGTTATGTTTTATTTAGTTATGGTTTGGTTGTGTTGTTTTTTATTTATTATGGTTTGGTTGTGGTTTGTAGTTTTTTTTTATTTTAATTATGTTTTGTTTGATGTATGGAATATGTTGAATAAAAAGGTCTTTTATTGAATGCTTTGTTTATTAAATAAAGAAATCCAATACAAGTCATTAAGAATTACTACTACTAAAATAAAAAACATGAATTACAACAACTTTAA